TCCAAAGGGTATAACCGGTCTTCGAGCTCCTTATCATATTCTTCCTCCGCGGTCTTAACGGTTATATCCCCAAGAGTAGACTCTTTCGGATCGGGCTCGCACATTTCCATATTATCGAGGTCCGCGTCCGAAAAGAGATGACCATACTTGGGGAGCACGCCCTTCGAACATACGCTTTGCAACCGTTCAGACTCCGGAAGCGGGCGCACATTCGCTTCGGTAGACTGAGACCGTTCAGGCTGAGGAGCTTCAGACGAGTCCACCGGAGCTCCGTCCGGGATCGGCTCCGTGAGGGTCTTATCCCAACAGAGGAATACACTGTCGCCCAGATCGATCTCGGGCCCTTGATACCAACACTCTTCCACCTGATCTTCGCTCCAACCTTCCTTCTTTAAAATCGATTTTAATCTCTGCAATGATCCAAACGGAGTATGGATAAACACCCCCGTAAACCATTCTCGAGGAGGCACTCTTCCCCTCTCTCTTTCTCAGTTTCCATTCGTACACTATTCAAGCGTTCCTTCGCCATCGTCTTAGTGTTTTCCGATTCTCTTCACAAACAGCATTTTTATTTCGTTCAGACGTTGTTCTGCACTAGGGAACGATCGCCTTTTTCTTTTTTTCATTTTCTCCACAGTGTTCTTCCATAGGTATACAACAACTCATAGACACATCCCTGCACACCGCATCCGTTCTTTCGCTCCGTCCTCCCTCCAACACTTCCGCACTCCCGATCTCTAGCCGACCGGTCTCCGAATCACTTTTAGGCCCGGAGGAGGGGTTGACTATCTTAGTCCTTTCCTCCCGCCACCTTCACTGCTGACGGGCCTTAGCCTGGCTCGCCATTTCGCGGAACCCGGCGATCTGAGGGCAAGTAGAGATACCATGACCCTGTTCGTGACAGAAGTAGCAACCGGAACCACCGTGAAATCCTTGCCCATCCGACTGCTCACATTCGACAGCAGTATGACCAGACATACCACATCTCCGACACTTCATGCGCTGGTGCCGGCACGTTTCCCGAGTGCATCCGAGAAGATGACATCTCCCACAGACAGAGACTCCGTCGTGGGTACGATGATCGGCTCCCATACGGATTCCTCTAAACGGTAGCCCACTACTACCAGCGAAGCCGTTCCCTGAGGCAGGAACACCGGAATTCACCACAGCGTCTACTCAGGGAGAACTGTTGCGCGGCGACCGAGGCAAATAGTGACCGTGAATGTGAACCGTTTGAAGAAGTTTAGAGGACAATGGACTAGACCTTACACTGATGAAGTCCCGCCTGAGGTCGAAGGAGAGAGCGTCGACGATGGCCCTTTAGAAGAGACTGATTTGCCGTCTTCGAGTTTTACGGAACGGTTGACGGTGGCTCAGGAAGATACTGTTATTGCAGGCATGGACAAACCTCTTCTCGAGATAGTGGCCAAAAGAAATATTAACCGTTCTGTGGAATACTTGGCTCTCGCTTCTAACTACGAGACGTTTTGGCTCCCTCGGTCAGAACTCATGCCCTCTTATGGAGCCCTAATTACTATGTCTGACCAAGCCGAGCGGATGAAGAAGGGTTTACCTGAACTGCGTCGAAGTCCGCGACTAGCTGATGCTAATGCCGAAGTCGACGAGGACGATATCCTTATGGCTTGAGATGGAAACGGTTAACCGTTCTCGATTGTGATGTTACGTGGATTACTATTGAATTGACCAGATATCGAGAACGGAACAATTGATGTGACATCGAAATTTGCGTTTTATATTTTTTATGTGCGGTAAGGGACGCTGGAGTGGTACGACACGCTTGAGAATAGGAAAAACGTCCCTAAAGAGCAAAATTACCACTACACTTACTTGGGCTTGAAGGCGGATGACTTGACTGGGAACGGAGGATCACTAGTGGTTGGAGACTCGGCGGGTGGTGACTTCTTGTCGCTGAATTCCTTTGGCGGGGGAGGCTTGTCCTCCGACTCGTGGTCTGACGACGGGTCCTCTCCGTTCTCGGGCTCTTCATCATCCAAGAGCGAAGGCAGTGAAGGAGCAGTGCTGTGTACTGTCCGTTCTCGTCCTCGAAATCCGAGTCGGCATCGTCCTGCTCGTAATCAATGGAAGGAATGTCCGGCTCATAGAATCTTGCCTTCTTCGCGGCACGTATCTTCTTCACCTCTTCTAGAACTGAACGGTCCGAGAGGAGCTTCTTCCAGATTCCGGTCTGCTTGCTACCCACCCAGGATTCCGTGGGAGGACGTTTCTTGGCGTCCAAAACGATGCACGCCAAAGCCCGAGTCATCAGGCGGAGATAAGAAGTGTTCGTGGGATCCGGTGCTCCAGACTGTTCTAGCAGGTCGGGGATCGAAGAGTAACCGTTCTCGTCAACGCTATAGGGACCCATGGCTCCAGCTATAACGCGACGATACGCCGTCTTGTCCTTCCTCTTGAACAAGGTGACCAGATCCTCCTGAAGTGCATCGTTGCCGAGTGGCGCCCGTACTGCCGTCGCCGAGTGCTTCGCTGCTGTCCCTCCAAACCACATTAAGTTGTCGTGAATGAAGTCCTCGAAGCGTTGGAGAAAGTCATAGTAACCGAACGCTTCCACGCAAGCACTCAGAAATATCAGTCGGGCCTTCTTGGCCTCCGCTTTGGCTTTGCGTCGCCGTTCTGCATCCGAGCACGGGGCGTACAGTGCAAAGATCCACTGCACTTCATGATAAGTCATCCATATTTCGTAATGTAGGCGGTGGAGATCTGGAAACTCGGACGGTGGGTACCAGGCCCACGGGTAGGCCAATCGAGGTGGTGTCTTGCCTTGTTCGTCCGCTTTCTCTGTCAGTACATGTACGTCGTTGCGCACATCTCGTGGCACTCCCGTTGGCATTTGCACGCGTAGCCCTTCGGAACGGCTTTCTTATGTTTAGCCGTGCGCTGCTTCTTGTGTTGCGGAGACTTGGAACGGACAGCTTGAGATCTACTCGACCGTTTTGTGGCCGAAGAACCAAGCGTGAAAAGCGAGTGAGTTGGAGGAGCCGCATCCCGTTGTTGAGCCGGTGCGGGGAGCAGTAAGACGGGCTTGTCCATTACGGGAGGGCGCTTCTGACTCGGTCGTAGAGCATACGCGGCTGCTTCATCCAGTGAGTCGATGCTCGAAGCAGCATTAGAAAACACTGCCTCTCGGAGACGACGGTAGAAGTCAAGCTGGTGTTGGAGACGAACCGTCTCGCTTTCGTCGTCGCTCTCGTCCTGGCTCACGAGCACCACCTCGAGGGCCTCGATCTCTTGGACGTAGCGCGGTTTCTTGGGCGGCATAGTGGCGGTGAGAAACGTGGTGTGCGGCGCGAATTTGCGAATGACTGACTCAGGAAGGTTGTCAGGTGTGAAAGGTAGGGTCGTGACGGTTAACTACGTCAGTCTGATGGCTGTCGAAGTTGCCTAGGAAAGATCCGAATGACGAACCCGAAACATTGAAGTCTAACGGGATTCTGACCTTGTCATAGACGGTTGATGGGAACAGACGGATACGTCTCTGCAAAATGATGTGCATGGTCCCTGATAAGCGAACGGTACCTTGATGTGATGAGGAGGCCAGTCTCGCATTTGCGATGAATTTAGCAGTACACGTGATTGTGGACGGTGTTGGGTGGAGTCTGTCCGCTTTGATGACGACCGTTCCCTTGTGCGGGTGGGCTCTAAAAACGTATTGGCGAGAGTTGTGTTGCGCCCTACTTGGAGCTCTCGTATGGACCATTACTCAACCTCTTCGCTCGGTGTCTGGAAGACTGTTATCTGCCGTCAGTTCTTTTCTGGATAAATGGACCGAACTAGGATCTGTGTGCTTCCAACGCTATCGTCGCTACATTAACAAACGATCAATTACTACTGTGCTTCCTCTGCTGGTGTTCTACAAGGTGACTTCTCTGCTGTGAACTTAACCGTTCTACTCGGAAGCTTAGCCGTTGTAGTCGTCGCCCTGGTCAACCATTGGTGGAGGTATGGCGTGGAATCAGCTGAGGATGCTACACTTGGGGCATACTCTCCGAGCGTGATTGGCTCACTCATGGCTGTCGAAGTTTCGCCTGAAATTGTCACCCTGGACGTCCACATCCAGGATGGCGGAGAGGTTGCCAATCCGGGATCCTGTGGAGAAGTCCTAGACGAGATAGCTCAGGGATCCGAATGCGACGCATTCCAGGATGACCTGAGTGTAGAAGACGAGAATTTCGAGTTACCTTCTTCTGCCATGCCTGGAACACCACTCGCAAGACTTGATGCGGTATATGCCAGGTGTGAGTGAGCGCTGAAGAACTCAACTTGGAACCCGCGGTTTATATTCTGGAAGGGAGTGAGCTTATGTCTCAGTTGAATGATCAGTTGGTCATGCTACCTGATTTGGAGGATCTCTCTCCTGAATGTGATATCGAGGCTGCTGACGTTGGAGAACCTGATGAGAGCACGGAAGTTCAGGAGAAGCAGTTGAAGGCCATCCTGAAAAGACGCCAGAAGATCTTCTTTGGTGATGGAAATGCTGCCCCGCCTCCGGCGAGGGGCGCCATCTGCGATTTAGATGTGGGGGATGCCAAGCCAGTAGCACAACGACCCCGATCGGTCGGTCCACATTTGGCAATCAAGATATACAAGTTATTGAAGAAGCTTCTGGAAGCTACACCGATTGAACATCCTGAATCGCCATGGGCATCCCCAATTGTGATCGTACTCAAGAAGAATGGAGTGGATATTCGAATGTGCATCGACTATCGAGTCGTGAACAGCTTCATTCACTTGTCGAACTATCCACTACCGTTGATTGATGATCTCATCACCGGTTTCGAAGGAATGATTTGGTTCATGAGTCTTGATATGGCGAGTGGATTCTGGGCACTCCGAATGTCCGAGAGGGCCAAACTGATCTCGGCATTTACGTACCCATTCGGGCATTTCCAATGGGTACGTATGCCATTCGGGTTGAAAAATGTCCCACTAATTTACCAACAGATGATCAACAATTGCCTGTGGGGATTTGTGCGGCTACCACCCGAAGAAGAAGCACTTGTGGATCAGGATGTGCTAGACTACTTGAAGTTGGACCCTCAGTCGCCTAGTGATGAAATTGATGTGGAACGCAGCATGACACCGCTAGTGGAACAAATGACGGATTTCAGACGTAACATTCCCGCGCCATCCCAAATGGGGCCAGCCTTGGGGCGCAGTTCGTATATTGATGACATTGCGCATGGGGCGGCCACGTTGGATCAACTATGCGGTGATCTAGATGCGTTGCTTTATCGGTTACGATATTGGAGTATCTCAGTTAGTTTGCCCAAGAGCGAATTCGGGAAGCGTGTCATACCATTTATCTCTCTCATGAGATTGGTGCTGAAGGGATACGTGCCACCCCTAAGATCGTAAAAGGCATTCAGGAGCTAGCATTTCCGTCTACCCTGAAAGGAGTCCAGTCATTTCTAGGCAGGCTGAATTACTACCACAAATTCATTGAAGATTATGCCGTGGTAGCTGCCTCACTCTATGAGTTGACAGATGATCAAGTGCGCGCAGGACGAGACTTGTCTCGAGCGAAGGAATCCTTTGAGATCCTGAAGAGGAAGATCGTACTACTCAGACATCCGGACCGAATGAAACTTTTCGTGATCATGCCTCATGCGAATCATTGGCAGCTTGCGCAGTTCTGGGACAGATGCATGACAGACTTGTTCAGCCTTTTCGATTCACGGGGCGCGTCCTGAATGACGCCGAGCTTAAGTATCATTTCGCTGAGAAAGAAGTTCTCGCTGTGATGCGAGTTTTCCATGTGTTCAAGAACCTGATCGAAGGATGTCCGCTGATAATCTATACTCGACATTCAGTGTTGAAGTGAGTCATCAACTCTAAGACCACTGAAGGTCGTTTGGTGCCATGGGGAGTCGCTCTCTCGCAGTACGACTTGGAAATCCGGAAGGTATGTCGAGATGAGGATGGCCTAGCCGCCATTATGGGTGCAAGTATCACTCCCAGGGAGCACTTGGACAAAGTCGCCGAAGTACTCATTCCAGCCAAGGGGCGCGTAAAACCGCCTCCAGTCGTGAGTGTCGAAATGCTCTCAGAAGAGTCCTGAGTTTCGATGGTGCGGCCAAAACTTCCACGAGGACGGGCAGTTGCGGATGCATTCTGTGGCATCTACCTGACTGGAAAGTTGTGGATGCTCGAGGATACATCCTGGATGGAGTCACCGTCAACGACGCGGAATATTTCGGATTGCTTAAAGGACTTGCAATGGCTTTGGAAAGAGGGATTCAAGATATAGTTGTTGTGGGTGACTCGAGAATTGTGATTCAACAAGTCCAAGGCCTGATTAATTGCAACCAGCCTAATCTCCAAAGAAGGCTAGCTGAATGTGAAACTCTGGAGAAGCGTTTCCAGACGGTCCGATTGGTACACATGAAGCGCGAGTTCAACGAGGACGCTGATTACCTGACTTCGAAGACTCTTGTCCAAGGTGAATCGTGGACTGTTCAGGATGACCTCGAGAAACGACACCTGGAAGTAGTGTCTAATTGTCTAAGATTCGCGAGCAGTTGGTGAAGCCGTCGGAAGGCACTAACACTCGAATTCACTGTGGAGAGCCCATAAACGACTCTGGTAAAGAAGATGGCGTTTCAGGAACGAGACATGGTCCTGGCCCTGAATGTGCACCTCTATCTTCTGCCGCCCGAGTCATGGCTGTACTCACGAGATCGCGGGCTCAAGAAGTTGATGACGACGAAGTTCCGCCCATTGGACCACTAGAATTCCAGGCCGAACGTTGGAGACGGATCAAGGTTCATCAAGAGAGTGATGAGTGTCTAGCAGAGATCAGGGCGTTCCTAAATGACGACCTGGACAGGTTCTCATCCGCACGTCTGAAGAAGATCGGTAAGGTCGCAGACTTGTTCGTCCTGGATGATCGAGGAGTATTGTATAGGCCCCCGAATTTTGTTGGAGGAAGAACATGAGATGCCGTAGATAATCTGGACTGGTAGTCTCGAGCTCACTTCGGGAAGACATGTTGCACCAATGCGCATGAAGATTTTCAAGGCGGACATCAAGGGATCACCCGGACTCATGAAAAGCTACGTACTGAATTCTACTGGCCCGGCAATTATGTGGACGTCCAACGTTTTGTGAAGGAATGTGTAGACTGTGCCAGTGGAAAAGGAGCTCACCCGAATGCTGGACCTTCGTCAGGGAATATTGAACCACAGTACCCATTTGAGGCGGTTTCTATGGATTTCGTCGGTGTGTCAGCCTTCGACGTCGATCGTCTGGGCACTGTGCTCCTACGGGTCGGCTATGGCGGTCTCGACAATCTCGTCGAGATCAAGCACTTGAGCGACCAGGATAAGGCCGACCTGTCGAAGTTGCCTAGCGAGGACCAAGACATTCAACGGGAGTTGTTGGTGCCTCAGGATACGTCGGTGGGGGCAAATCCGAGTGACTTCCGCGATATGATTACTGGCATCCCAGCGCAACGCGAATGGGCGGCGCTCTTGCGGGTGTATGAGCTTCAATGTCTGGCTCGCAAAGTATTCGGAATGTCTACACTCCTAAAACGCATGTTGGACCGGCACCGTGTCTCTCTGGTTGCCTGTACTCTGGGTACCTCCAAGACCACGCTTAAGTAGGGCAATTCTTCGGACGATGCTCGAAGCGCGCGTCGAGACTTCGTGCTTCTCGAAAAGGCTTTCAACCAACAAGTGGTCGAGATTTTGGAGCAAGCTCGGAGTCGGCTCTCTGAAAGTGATTGCGACATTCGACGTGCGGCAGAAGATCACAGCCGCCAAGATCAAGTTCTTCGGGGTGCGAACGCCGAGTTACAACGTCAGATTGAAGACTATTGCTCAATCAATCGGCGACTTGAGGACCGGCTCCGGGGTGGAACATTCAAGGTTAGTCGCGTGATGAACTTCCTAAACCGCCACAACGCTTGGGTTAGCGGCAATTGGTCGCGCCTGGAGGCATTGCTGGAGGAATTCAAAGATGGATCACTTCCACCTGACTCCTGGAAAACGCAGATCTAGATCAATGCGGCTGATGAATTCGACGCCGACCCGGGCGCTTACAAGTACGAAGTGGAGAGTCACGATGAGGAATCTAAGGTTCCTGAGGTACCCAAGCCCCAGATCACCCTGAAGGTTTCCACGGTGGACCTCACGGAACCATCCTCTACTGAGTCTACCCCAGTTAAGATTCAACGGAAGTTGTTCGGTGGGTCTAAGCCCAAGGCTCTCACGGATTTCCAGCTTCGGTTCAGTACTTACACCGCGAGCACGACTGACACCCTGGATCCCACGACGGCCAAATAGCTCTCCGGCACCAAGGCACGCGAGAGCCTGACTCAACGTGGCATTTGAGATAAGCTTCGTGCAGATATCCAGGAACCCATGCGGCCGCACATGTCTTACGATGAATTGCTTGCTGCTGATCGGGCCGATGCCGAAATTCACTCTCACCTGGATGCCCGGCATCTCATCTCCATGTTGGTGCGCATCATATACTGGAAAAGCCTCGATAAGACCCCTTGGGTCAAGTACGTTCCCTGTTGGTGTTACAAGGAGGCTGAGTCCAAGCTTGCCAAGGCTCTCACTTCAGGTGAAGTTCCAACTCGCTGGCCTAATTTGCGTAAGGACATCCAGGATGACGCTGTGGAAATTATGGCAGCATTTTACGACAGTGTCCCAGAAGAGGAAGACGAAGGGCGTGATGCAACCTTCTCACCAGGCGATGATGGTCAGAACAAACCTAAGCGTCGTACTACCCCTCCTCGACAGACGAAGCGCGGTCGTAACGTCACTTCGGATTCGTCATCCAAGAGCAAACACAAGCGTGCGTCGTCTCCACCCAAGAAACGTGCCAAGTCAGGCAACGGCAAGGAGTCGCGTCCAGGACAAGAGCGAAAGCAGACGGCTCTGGCACGCAAACGTTATGCCTCCCTGAGCGTCTCGGAGAATGGATCGTCGAAGTACCCGGCCGTGGCATCCTTTCGTGGAGTCATCATGGTGTACTGATGAAGTTCCCTCCTGGTACAGTTAATGCCGTAACGCAGTCATTCGGGTTCCCGGACTACGCTCCGAATTTGGCCAAGGACGAAGACGTTCAAGCACTACGAGAGCGCTGGGACCCAGTCGCATTCAAGGAGCTTATGGACACGAAACCTTGGGACGTCATGTTCGAAGATCGTACCAAGTTTCTGATTCTTCACGTGCGTGACGACCTGAGTGTCGTTGCTCGGGAGTCTCTGAATGCCATAGTGGCATTCATGTCTGTGCATCGTCGTGCGATTTGATGGTTCGGACACTGGGTATTCATCGATTTGGAGACCGTTGATCCTTACTCTGTGGAACTTCACCGTGAGCCCAAAGCCGAGTGCGATAAGGCCAAGAAAGAGTACAAGAAACTCCTGGATGATCGTGTCGATGCCGGTCTTGAGGAAACAATTCTGGATGAGCCTGGTTCTTGGACTATCCCTGCCAAGTGCTGTCACTGGATACTGATGTATGAGTCGCACGTCAAGGACGATGGCACTCGCTACACCCTGAATGAGTGGATGGAGCTCCTGGATGACCAAGAGCCAGCACGTGTCCAGAGGAACACTTATGCCTCGGATGCGGACCGAATCAAGCGTCTCCCGGAGGACTATCCATTGAAACTCCTGAAAGGTTCACAGCGCCAGTCGCAGAAGAACCGCGTCACCATGGAAGTCACCATGGATTTCGACTAACTGATTCTTCCAGAACAATTTTACGTGTTACATGTCGGAGCATTAGCGTTAACATACAGAATACAACTGTCATTCACATCTTCAATGTTCACCGTCTTTCCTGTCCATCATTTTCAATTCACACCTCGTCATCAACCAAATTCCACATTCGGCATCCCGAATATCTCCACAATACGTCTTATGAATCAAACAAAATCATAATCAGTTCTCATAGTTCCACCGTCTAGTGTCGTTCAGGTAATGTCATTCGGGTTGACTACACTCTAGGGTAGTCATCCCCGGCCTGCATCGCCTGAAAGCGAGCTCGTGCTCGCGTCCCTTTGTTGAATTCATACAACAGTGATCCACAATTGAGCTGCGTCACCGGAATCCACTCTGGATCATCATACCCCTTCCATTTGACGAGATATTCTCGAGATCGCCTCGCAGTTCGGGTGCGTTTCATCCATCGTACATCCTGGATTAATCCCACTTCAAACACATCATTCGAGCTATCCGGCTCCCAAATGTCCTCAGACAATAGTGCAGCATCGAAATCATCATCATCCGCGACGTCAACCTCGACTGTCG